CCCCACATGCAATGGGGCGCGTTTTTTTTTTGCTTTTTATTGACCCTTCCTCCTTCCCAAACCCGAGTATTGAGGCGCTGATAACGTAAATGTTGGGTGAGGGATAGGGAAAAGGGAGTTCATGGGTACGCGATCATTTAGAGAGAGTATGGAACGATTTAAAAATATAAGTACTGGTTCCATCTCACGCATAAATATGCGCACATTCCTATTAGAGGGGTCAGATCGGCTCACTTTATCAATGCCGTGTGTGCATGCATGCGCATTTATGTGTCGTGCTCCCCTTAGCTATGTTGAGGGAGAGAAGATTGGGGCTGCGCATGCTCTGCACTATAAATTCGAATAAATTGTGGTGCTACGTCTTTTCCATTGCATTAACTATCTCACAGGATGGGGGTTCTCTTAAAAGGGTGGAAACAAAAACGGTAGCAACTAAGCATTTCCTTAATAAAACTTCATTGAGAGGTCTTTTTCTTTCTAAGTAGATAACAATTTACTTTTCGATCGTTAACCTTTATTTGTAGTTTCACTCTTGCTTCTATGCTTACAAATGCCTCTGGTCTAATCTGTATTGGTTTCGTTTCACCATGTTCACGTCTTTTCATGATCGTTTTCTAATTCACGGGAGGTGTGCAGATAGAAAGCAAAATCTTAAGGAGCTTGTTAATCGGAACCATGAGCTTGGAGCTTAACATTCTGGGCCATCGGTTCGCCAACCCGTTCATGAACGCGGCTGGTGTGATGTGTAGCACCAAGGAGGAGCTGGACTCGATGGTCGCGAGTTCGAGTGGCAGCCTTGTAACCAAGAGCTGCACGACTGCACCACGTGCTGGGAACCCGGAGCCGCGCTATAAGACGCTTGAGCTCGGCAGCATCAATTCGATGGGTCTGCCTAACCTCGGCTTCCCGTTCTACGAAAACTACGCGGCCAGGGAGCATGACTACACCACGAAGCCACTTTTTGTCTCCGTTTCCGGTCTCTCCGTGGAGGAAAATGAGACGATGTGCCGTCGTCTCGCGGCGGTTACGGTGTCGAAGGGCGCGATACTGGAGCTGAACTTGTCGTGCCCGAACGTTCCGGGCAAGCCGCAGATCGCGTACGATTTCGGCGACATGAGGACATACCTGGCGGCTGCCTCGGCGGCCTATGGGCTCCCGTTCGGCGTCAAGATGCCCCCGTACTTTGACATTGCGCACTTCGACCAGGCCGCGGCGATCCTGAACGAGTTCCCGCTTGTGAAGTTCATCACGTGTGTGAACAGCATCGGGAATGGGCTATTCATCGACGTGGAGAGTGAGTCCGTGGTGATCAAGCCGAAGCAGGGGTTTGGCGGGCTTGGTGGGAAGTACATTCTTCCCACTGCACTCGCGAACGTGAACGCGTTCTACCGCCGCTGCCCGGATAAGCTGATCTTCGGCTGCGGTGGCGTGTACACTGGCGAGGATGCCTTTCTGCACATCCTGGCCGGAGCTTCGATGATCCAGGTGGGAACCGCGCTTTACGACGAAGGCACCGGGATCTTTGAGAGGCTCTGCCGGGAGCTGCAGGAGTTGATGGCCCACAAGGGCTACACCACGCTGGATGAGTTCCGCGGCAAGGTGAAGTTGATTGAGTAAATCGTTGCATAGTTAAATAATGAACATCATCAATTAAACGAAAAGCGCTCCAAGGAGAACCTTTGGCGAATCGATGCATCGCGCATAAAAATAGGCCTTACCCATTGATTACCAAGGGTGTGAGAGACCACCAAGTAGATATATGCGTTCACTACTGTAAGCATACCACCATGATCTTCTTCTTTTTGTCCAGTTTATACCTGTTGGAGTAATTGGAAGGGGAATTTAGTGATCCTCGAGGCAACACCGAGCATGTTGGATGCTCCCTAAGTGTGTCCTTTCACGTCAATGGATTTCTTCAGCGCCATACTTAGCATTCCACGTGCACTTGGATATGAGGTAGAACTTGCGTAATAGTGACGGATCGCATCACCTGATTGACGACCACCCGTGGTGTTTTTCTTCCTTTGTGATACGCATATATATATATATATATATATATATATATGTCTCCCCTGCTTTACAGATGGAGCTGCATAGGTCAAGTCACATCGTCACCGTTTTCTTCGTACCTCTCTTGCTCTTACGTTTTGTTTGCGAGCAAAAGGAATACATACTTATACGGCAACCGAATATCATTTTCCTTCAGCATATCCAGCGTCTTATCAAGTCGAGTGTACTAAGTGTGGAACGTGACGGAATTTTTCCCCTGCTGATTGACCGCGATGACCAGTAAGTTTTTTGACCTGCTCGATGCGCGCGCGAAGAGTACGCTGCTTTGCGTCGGCCTGGATCCTCGCTCGAAAACCCCCGAGGAGGCCCTCCAGGAGTGCTGCCGTCTCGTCGACCAGACCCAGGAGTACGCCGCGGCGTACAAGCCGAACGCCGCGTTTTTCGAGTTATTTGGGCAGAAGGGTTGGCAGGTGCTGGAGGAGATCATCGCCCACATCCCCAAGCATATTCCGGTGATCCTGGATGCGAAGCGCGGGGATATCGCCTCGACGGCGGAGGCCTACGCGAAGTCTGCATTCGAGCGCCTCCACGCCAACGCCATCACGGTCTCTCCCTACATGGGCGGCGACTCTCTTTCCCCCTTCTTGCGCTACGCCGACCGCGGTGTGTTTGTGCTGTGCAAGACGTCGAACAAGGGCAGCAACGACCTGCAGTGCCTGCGGCTGGGGGGGAAGTACCTCTATGAGGAGGTGGCGGAGCGCGCGGAGGGTGTGTGGAATGGGAACCACAACGTCGGACTGGTGGTGGGGGCGACGGATCCGGTGGCGTTGGCGCGCGTGCGCTCGCGTGCACCGTCGCTTTGGCTGCTCGTGCCCGGGATCGGCGCGCAGGGTGGGAGCCTCAAGGCGGCTCTGCGGGCGGGCCTCCGCGCGGATGACAGCGGGCTTCTGATCAACGCCTCACGCTCGATCGCGGCCGCCGAGGACCCCCGTGAGGCCGCGCGGAAGCTGTGCGAGGACATTAACCTCATACGCCGCGCGCGTGACTCGTCCATGGAGCTCGCCCAGGCGCTGATCGCCTCGCAGTGCGTCCGCTTTGGCGACTTTACGCTGAAGTCGGGGAAGAAGTCGCCGATTTACATCGACCTCCGCCGGTTGGTGGGGTACCCGGGGATCATGCGTCTCGTCGCGCGCGAGTACGCCAAGGTGCTCCGGCATTACACCTTTGATCGCATTGTTGGACTGCCGTACGCCGCACTGCCCATCGCGAGCGCGATTTCGATGGAGATGAACGTGCCCCTGATCTACCCTCGGCGTGAGGCGAAGGTCTACGGCACGAAGGCCGCCATCGAGGGCGAGTACCGAAAGGGCGATCGTGTTGTGATTATCGACGACCTTGTGTCGACCGGCGAGACGAAGGTGGAGGCGATCGAGAAACTGAAGGCCGCCGGACTGGAGGTTGTGGCGATTGTGGTGCTGGTGGACCGCGAGATGGGCGCTGGCGCCTTCCTGGGGAATCTCGGGTACACGTTTGAGGCTGTCGTGGGGCTCTTCCAGCTGCTCCCGTTGTGGAAGCGGAGCGGTGCAATCTCGGCTGCGCAGGCCGAGGAGGTGAGTCAGTTCCTGAAACAGTTTCAGAGCAAGTTGTAGGCCCGTGAGACTCCGTCCTCCCCTTTTTTCTTTCCCGCGCCATGCTATTATCGGCGGGCAGCGTTCTAACACATGGATGACAAGGGGAGGGGGCCGTAGTGCGCGTCACGCCTTTTCCTGGCTTAAATGTGCGCATGACGGTGCAGGGGCGTGAGTGCGGACTGTACATGAGAGGAAGTCGGTCTCCACGAGGTATGGCGCGAACCATGTCCTCGTGAGAATGGAGCCATAATATTAAGGTAATTCAATCTGAATCTTTTCCCTAACAAGAGGGTTCTATAAACCGTCCTAAACACCAGATCCCTAGGTAAGCTTTAAGAGCTGCATGCTTGACTACAAGGACAGCCTGTGACAATTTTGGTTCATCTGAGAAACCACACTTGTGTCTGGGACAACGTTGTTCTTCATTTGTCAAATTCCTTTCTACCTCCCGTATCGACACGCCCATGGGGAGATATCCCTCCAGGGCGTTCTTATTCCAGTAGCCAAGGACATTTTTTTTTCGATTTCTTGATTATCTATCTCACAGTCACAGTGAGTACACATTGAACACCATAGGCAAAGATCCGGACAGTTTACTATCGTGCTCAACGCTTACTCCAACGAGGGTTCACGTTTCTGTTTCGTCATTATTATCTGTGCCATTAACCTTACCACAACTACAAACACATAACAACATGTCATATCCTTTCCAACCCATCGCCTCCCTGAAGGGCTGCAGTGTGTCCTCTGCGGGGCAATTCTCCTTGGAACAGATTGAGCAACTCATAAATCTTTCCCTGAAGATTCGTGAGTACATCGAGTCGGGCAAGACCATCGATGTACTTCGTGGGCGTGTGATGGCTCCGCTCTTCTTTGAGGACTCATCTCGCACCCGTTACAGCTTTTCTGCTGCCATGATGAGGCTTGGCGGCAGCGTGTTGGACTTCAAGGTCGAAAGCAGCTCCGTGAACAAAGGTGAGACCCTCCAGGACACGGTACGCGCGTTGGACTCCTACAGCGATGTGCTTGTGCTTCGCCATCCGAAGGTTGAGGCACTTGGCGAGGCCCTCGCGGTTGCCACTCACCCCATCTTGAAT